TCGTCCGAAGCAATTTTCTCGCTTCATATTCCACCTTTTTTGATCGGAATTGAACTGTTGCGTTACCCAGGAGCCGTGCTCTCACACTGTCTCATGATCCCAATACCCCAAGTTGACCTGGACAATGTCTTTAACAGCTTTCAACTGTAATTACCCTCGATGTTTTGGGGGAGATTTACATCTATACCGCAACAACGTCCTTTGACACATTCTCAGTCGAAGTATCACAAATAAACCGTTACAACAAGAACTAAAAGACCAACTCAATGCCGCAACATTCTGTAACCTCAAAATATAGCAGTCCTCGTTTCGCTCCAATACCCAAAAGAAAAAATGCTCCGCATTACTCCTACACTTCCCCAAGTTGAACTCTTCACTGTTGAGCGAACAGAATGTTAATGAGACGAATATCAAGATAGCTGCACAAGTAACAACACAACGAAAGTGAAGGAAGCTCAGCATTTGAACCTAGGACTACTTAGCACACTAACACGCCCCTTCATACAAAACAGAAAAGTGTACACGGGGAGTGGTATTTAAGTGGCCAATCCACAATAGCCCTCTAGTTATAGCTTCACAGCTGACATTTGAATGACTAAGTTTATATGGAGGATGGTTTCCTAGTTCATGCTGCTACCAACCACAAGCGCCAAGGACCGCCTTTGACATGCAACACACTATGATTCTTCAGAAGTTAGAATTACGGAAAGTTCTTAGTGAGTTTAGAGACATTGAAATATCAATCGGCTAATCCCTGCGAGTCGGAGAGGGTGCTAAAAATGCCGAACCATTTATCCATCTTTATTAGACCAAAAAATCCCCTCCAGACATAAAATTTGCTTGAATACAGAGCGGTAGAAGTCCCTTAACCTATCCTCGTCGTCTACAAGAAAAATGAAACCATCATAAGATTACTGCTAGTGTCTTTGAGCAAGATTTAACCGTAGGCTAGCTGGTTAGCTATGCGACGACCGAAACCTAGATAATCTACAGAGTCAAGCCCTCAACGTGTTTTCTAGTTTACCATCAAAATCAGTGAACACTTTCTTGCCGTTTCTTGCCCTCATGTTAAAGGTTCTGGAGTTCCTATCATCTTCGATGCAAGACCTCAAACAAGTCATCGCCAACGCGTAAGGATGAAAAGCTTTGAAGTGAGAAGAATGCTTCAGAAGCGCCACCTGGCCTTCTGAAGGCTCATGCATCGTTTCGTACATTTTCGCTAGTTTTGCGCTGTTCAAGAGGCATTTTGGGACTGACAAAACAAATAAACTCAGGCGAAACTCTTCTTGGCACCTGGTCAATCTTACTTACACATTGATAACCAAGGTTACCTAACTCAACTAACTCTAACTAATTAACTCACAGCCTCAGTTCTTTTTTCAGCGTGATTATTTCGACCCTCTTTTCCCCGCGTACATATTTCTATCTCAAATTGTCCTTGAGACCCAGTTCCGAACAACATCGAAGCAAGCATTCAAGACAAGGGAGTAGGAGCGTGTAGCGACCACATGGTGAGAGCGAAAGCACAAGACGAAGCAGGTTAGGTTATACAACAAGTGCCCCTGTTACGACCTTGATCTTGCAAGCTCAGAATGGTGTTTTCTAGTTAAACTTCTCAAATGCTTTTCGGGACATCTCATGCCGACCTGTCAAGATCAAGGCGCTCAAGCAAAGCAACTATGGTACTATTAGGGGGTTGCATACGAGTACGGTGTGTACGATGTGTACCTCTTGTGTAGAGTGCTGTGGACTGCTGGGTTGTGACGACGAGGTTCCCGGCTCGGGTCCGCTTCCATTCGAAACAACACTGTTCGCTGAATCGCTGGTCCTCAGCACGCCACTGATTCGAGTCACCATTTTCACGGCAGAGATCGCGGCCTTTCATGGGCACATTGTTGTTCTCTCAGCACACATTGGTACACAAAAGCACAATCAAGGGTGAAAAA